TTATGGGTAGAGATCAGGGATAATATTAAAGCGGTCGGTAACTCGTGTCTAGGAAAAAAGGAAAATAAGAATAACAAACCGTGGTTTGATGAAGATTACTTAAACATGTGCGAAAAAAGAAAAGCCGCTAAATTAAAAGCTCTAAATAATCCTAGCGAAGACAATATGGAATACTTCCGAACCTCAAAGAACGAAACGACAAAATTGCTAAAAAATAAAAAAAGGGAGTATCTTAAAAATAAAATAATTGAAATAGAAACTAATAGAATCGAAAATAACGTAAGAGACATGTACAAAGGTATAAACAGATCACGAAAATGTGTAGGGCCTGTAACGTCTGGAATTAAGGATGATAATAACAATATTCTGACCGATCCGGTTGACATATTGAATAAGTTTAAGGACCACTTTGACAATATTTTAAATACGGGAAATTATGATCTCTGTCCTCCTTCTGAGTACCAGAGTGCTGAACCGTTAATAGAAGGACCAAGTAAAGAGGAAGTTGAAGTAGCTATCGGAAAATTAAAATCTTATAAAGCACCGGGAACCGACAATATTCCTACTGAATTAATTAAGGCATGTGGGGAAGCTGGAGTTTCTAAAATACATCGGTTGGTTAAAAAGATCTGGTTGAACGAGAAATTACCTGAAGAATGGAAAGAATCTATTCTTATTCCGATTCACAAAAAGGGTCCGAGGACGGATTGTAATAACTATCGAGTAATTTCACTCCTTCCAGGATGTTATAAAATATTCACTTTAATCTTAACCAGTCGAATCACGGAATACGCCGAGGAAATTATGGGAGACTACCAATGCGGATTTAGATGGAATCGTTCAACTATTGATCAAATATTTTCTTTACGGCAAATATTAGAGAAAAAATTGGAGTATAACGGTATTGTTCACCAGCTGTATATAGATTTTAAAAAGGCTTACGATTCTATTGACCGCCAGAAACTGTATAATATTCTAAACGAACAGGGGATTCCAAAAAAACTAGTAAATCTAGTCAGGATGTGCTTGACGGAGACACTCAATAAAGTTAGAATCGGTAATAATTTGTCCGAAAAATTAGAACATGCCATTAGGGAGGTAATGCGTACCGAAAAAGGGTTGGATCTGGGCGGGGCAACATCTGTGCTGGACTATGCTGATGATCTGGTATTGTTAAGCGAAGACGTTGAAACTATAAAACTAAATACGACAACGTTAATGAAAGCCGGTAAAGAACTAGGGCTCGAAATAAACGTGGATAAAACAAAATATATGGTTAGCTGCAAAAATGGCGATACTACTGGTGACATCAATATAGATGGTAATATGTTTCAACAGGTAGAGAAATTTAGGTATCTAGGTTCTACGATAACTAGAAAAAACGAAATTGAAGAAGAGATTAAGGTTAGACTGAAGGCGGGAAATGCTTGTTATTTTTCTGTGACAAAACTACTTAGTTCGCGCCTCTTGTCCCGGAACTTAAAAATTAGAATCTATAAAACAATTATCTTGCCTACAGTTCTTTATGGATGCGAAACTTGGCCGCTTACATTAAGGGATGAGCAGCGTCTTAAAGTTTTTTAAAATAAAGTATTGCGTAGAATATTCGGACCGAAGAAGTATAACGGTATTGTTCACCAGCTGTATATAGATTTTAAAAAGGCTTACGATTCTATTGACCGCCAGAAACTGTATAATATTCTAAACGAACAGGGGATTGAAGAAGAGATTAAGGTTAGACTGAAGGCGGGAAATGCTTGTTATTTTTCTGTGACAAAACTACTTAGTTCGCGCCTCTTGTCCCGGAACTTAAAAATTAGAATCTATAAAACAATTATCTTGCCTACAGTTCTTTATGGATGCGAAACTTGGCCGCTTACATTAAGGGATGAGCAGCGTCTTAAAGTTTTTTAAAATAAAGTATTGCGTAGAATATTCGGACCGAAGAAGTATAACGGTATTGTTCACCAGCTGTATATAGATTTTAAAAAGGCTTACGATTCTATTGACCGCCAGAAACTGTATAATATTCTAAACGAACAGGGGATTCCAAAAAAACTAGTAAATCTAGTCAGGATGTGCTTGACGGAGACACTCAATAAAGTTAGAATCGGTAATAATTTGTCCGAAAAATTAGAACATGCCATTAGGGAGGTAATGCGTAGGGAGAAGAAGGATGAGTTAACCGGAGAGTTCAGACGGTTACACAACGCCGAATTGCATGAGCTGTATCCGGGTAATATAATTGAGATAATTTCATCGCGGTGAATCAAATGGCTTGTAAAGTTATTGGGCTTAGTAACGAGAGAATTCCTAAAAGGTTAATATTTGCGGTGCCGAATGGTAAGTCTCCGAGGGGTAGACCGAAGCGAAGGTGGGAAGATTGCATTAAAGCCGATCTGAAGGGACTGGGTTTGGACGGCGAACGGTGGAGGGAGGTGTGTAATAAACGATTGGTGGTGTCAGCATCGAACCTTCGAGTTCGCTAAGCCTTTTATTATTATTATTATTACCTATTTTAATATTTAAAAATCATTATGGACTGAATTGCCCTTGTCAACTCCAGTTAACTAGTCAAACACTAAAACCTTCCTAAACAAGGTTATGTTTATTTCAAAACCTCAGTGCATTATCACAATCCCAAAATTAAAATTTACATTATTAAAACCATCTTTATGTATTGCTAAAGTAGTTGATAAATATTACATTATATTAAAATTAAATACATTCACAGGCATATTATTAATTCACCCATTTTCCTATCGCCGTCAGTACTTCCTAGCCACCTTTCTGTACCAAATCATTAGAACCCATCGACCCTCCTATATTTTTCACAGCTTACAATTCAAATATTCCATCCAATCCTGTCCCACCAGATCTCGTACTTCCGACCTCTATCCTCCTCCTCACCGAACTGCTGCGTTTGACAAATCCTTTGTAATACAAGCCGCCTCCCTCTGGAATTCCATCCCAGCTGATATTCGACACGCTCAATCAATTTCCTCGTTTAAACCTCTCCTCTTTAAGCACCTACTCCTTTCTCAATCCGAATGATTGTGAAATATATCTAAGAGAAATATCTGAGCACCACCAGAGACTACCTCAATTTATTAAGGTTATTTTAGTTTCTCATACATATGTACAATTTACTTGTTCTTTTCTTTCTCTTTTCTGTATTTTTATCGTAAGTCAACTTTCATTGTAAATATACAATTTAATTGTAGCCACACAGACATATAATCTGTATTCATATTTTGTTCTTAAGGGACAACAGTCCCAGAATAATAAAACATTTTTTTCATTTTCATTTTCATTTCATTTCATTTTTAAAAACTATAATTTCATTTTTGACATTCAATTTTGCAACTCGATACACCATTTTTATATTTAAAATTTAATGTAAATTATTCTAAAAATATACCTAAACAGGTATACAACTCATTATTTTTGCATTTCCATACATTTATAAATTAATTTTTCTTATTATTTCCATATAAGTCTGTCCTATCTGCCCTGAATCTGCTTTGAAATTCACAGTATAATTTATGTTCTCTATAATATGCAAAGCTTCTAAAGTGTTTCTCTTGGTTGTGTTTTTTCTTTTTGTAGGATTTAATCCTTCTCAAAGTCAAATTCATGTTCTTTATTGAAAGCGTGTTTTACCAGTGCTGTTTTTTTATTGTATTTTTTTTTTTCCTGTTTTTTACATCATTCTGATACTGGTACATTCTGTCATTGATATAATGCTTTGTTCTTCCTATGTATATTGCTGGACAATTCAAACATGGAACCTTATACACTAATCCTGCTTGATAATTTTTCTAATTTCATCCTTTAAATTACTATAAAAAATTTTGATTTTGTTCTTAGGTCTAACACTCAAGACATAATCTCCCACATCATAATCATTAAAGAACCTCTTTATATCTTCTGAAAATCCCTTAATGTAACCATAACCATAACACTTTTTTGACTTTCACTTTCTATATTGTTAACATTCTTCAAATTCAATTCCCAAACTTTCTTGATTAAACTTTTGTGATAAAAATTCCCCAAGAACATTTCAAAAACTTCTTCCTTCACTTTTTTCAATCTGCTAACATTGGTTATATCAATTACTTTTTTAAAAATAATTATTTATTATATTATATTTCATATGAAACGGGCTACAAGAATAATGTTTAAAATTATGAATTCCAAAGCAGATTCAGGGCAGATAGGACAGAAATAATAAGTAAAATTAATTTATAAATGATTGGAAATGCAAGAATAATGAGTTGTATACCTGTTTAAGTATATTTTAAAAATAATTTATGCTAAATTTTAAATACAAAAATTGTGTATTGAGTTGGAAAATTGAATGTCGAAAATAAAAATTATGCTTTTTTAAAAAAGGGTGAATTAATAATATGGCTGTGAACATATTTAATTTTAATATGATGTAATATTTATTAATTACTTTAACAATACATAAAGATGGTTTTAATAATGTAAATTTTAATTTTGGGATTTTGACAATGTAATGAGGTTTTGAAATAAATATAACCTTATAGAGGAAGGTTTTAGTGTTTGACTAGTTAAATGGAGTTGACAAGGGCAATTAAGTCCATAATGATTTTTAATTATTAAAATAGGTATGTAAAATAGAGTATTAAATGAAAAATTACCAAATATAATTAGGCTGTGATGATTATTTTATTTGTTAAAGGTTTCTTCCCTTGATAATGGCCTAAGGGCTGAAACAGTGATGTAAAAAAACAAATAAAGTAGGACTATAGTAATTGAACATGTGGTTTTATTATAAATGACAATATATATATATATATATATATATATATATATATATATATATATATATATATATATATATATATATATATATATATATATATATCTTTTTTTTAAGACTTCTTTAAATCCAGTAAAGTTTTGAAAATTTTATAAAATATTCAATTTAAATTCAAATAAAAGTAAAAACATAAAAATAAGTAATGACTTACAGCTTCTCTAGCAGTTTGCAATTGCTTTTCAGCAGACATTTTCTTTTTAAAATAGGTCTTATTTTCAAGTTCGTAAGTCAACTGAAGCCACTGTTGAAGACCTGGTGGCGGCATACAACAACGGTCTTTTAACTCACCTTCGGCCCTTTCAAGCTCATTCCTCAACAGCTACAAAACAAAATTTATTAAGCAGTTGAAATTGATAACCTAAAATCAAGTCTATATCTCTAATTATTGAAAAAAAAGTTGTAATGATTTAAATTTTTAATTAGTTAAAGTCACTTAATAAATAAAGGTAAGAATTGTAAAAAACTTAGAAGCAAATTAATAAGAGTAGGTCTTACAATATAATTTTAATATATACATAACTTTTATTTGGAAACAAATATTACAATCTACCACATTCAAAGAAAACAAGCAATAGAGGTAAATTCATACATTCACATAAATTCTTTACAAGGAAAAATATTAAATAAATAAACGAAAAATAAAGATATACTATATAAACAGAAAAAAATATAGAACAAATTAAACTTAAACATAGGAATAATAAAATACAAAATAACATCCATAACTATTTATGCCTCATTGGCCTTGACTTCCCCTGAGCCTGTCCTACCTACAATTGAGATCTAAAAAAGAGCCCTAAGAACCAAAGTCACATTGTGCCACAACTAGGGAATGGAGTTCTATTAAATAAATAGGAAATATGGACAGGAACCGAAGTGGAGGGTAAGTCATGTATGAATTTCAATTCATCAACTATTACCCACGGTTAGATGAGCCATCGCTTGATCTGAGAGAGATAGAGTAAGTGATTGAAAGAGGCTGTTGCAAGATCAGAGTGGGATTACAGAATGGCTGTATTATCAGATAGAGCCCGGATTATTGTGTAATTGGACATTTTTCCTTTTTGGTTTGAAATTGATTAAGGACAATTTATATTCACAAATTCTTAAAGCATCGTGATTAATTTTGTTTTAAATGAATTGTACATTTTTTTTTCACTCCACAAAATTGCATGTTTTGCCATAATTAAAAAAGGAGAAGTTTATGGACGCCTTGAGTATATTTTATTAGCCTTGAATAAATAAATATTTGACTCACTCCCAAAGTACGATGAGAAAATGACTTTAGGGAATTTAGATGCAAAAATAGAAAAAAAGAAATGTTTCTTTTGAGCGCTATGCCACAAGTTAGTTGGATTTATTATTTTCAATGAGTGCTTTGTAATTATATTTGACAATAAGATAGGCTTCAAGATTGTGAATAATTATTTTTGACCATTATTCTGTATTTTTGATGCAGAATTCTTTTAAATACTTGGCACTCATTATCGTACCATTTATTTTTAAAAACACGATATGATTTGTTTTTATTTACCATAAGCGCACAGTTCGTTAAAGATTCATACATCGACTCAACAAAATTCTCGTACAAATCATCACTATTTTTAGAATATAAATATATCCTGCTGGAGTTGTGAAGATAGATTTGGAGTTCCTTAACTCTGTCCGGGTCCCATCTTATATATTCAATTGGCTTACAGATTTTTATAACATGCTGAGATGGGAAGCTAATAGATATAATGCACACTAAGTGATCTGAACAATCAGAAAAAGCAGAAACTTCCATGTCTTCAACTACTTGTAGGGTATTTTCGTTAATCCAAAAAAGAACTATAGAACTGTTACTGTTTTTGGAAATATACTTATATTTTCTAGGCCTGTCTGATGGCCATCTTCCATTACATACTAGTAGTCCTATAGATTCCACTGCCTCGACTAACAGCTTTCCCTTCCCATTTATTTTCTCAATCTGTTTTCGCAAGAATTTGCGTTTTGGAAAAATTCAGATTCTAAATTATTTAAACCTCCAATGTGCCCGTTAAAGTCCCCACACAAAATTATATTGGTATTAGGATGGTTTGATAGGAAATTACATACAATCCTACTGATGTTTTCCAGAAATTCTTCAAAATCACAGTCCTGGGGTAAATAAACATTTCCCAACAATACATTTTTATTAATAAATTGAAAAGAAAGTGTGATCATATATTGGCTATTTTCTAAACCAGTAACTTTCCCTTTATTTTTTTTATTATTGCGTTGTTTATGAATGTGACGACAACACCACCTGCCCTACTCCGCTGTTTAAATTCTACTACACACATTGTCATTATATTATTAGTATCTGAAAGTAAACTGATGTTAAGTAAATTTTGGTAACCTTTGATACTGTTAAATATTATCTTATATGTACTGTTAGTATGGTTAAATGAAAAATTAAAATTACTAAAATTATTTTGAAGCATAAGAAGCCTTTCTGATGGTTGATGGTTATGAAGTCACGAGTCTTTTTCTGAAAAATGACCACTGAGTGAAGTAGATCTCGACTGAAACTCGAACTCTTTTAATCTTTCATTCGTCTTTCTTTTTTCTTGCAATCGGTTGCCTTGCTCAATAGCAGGAGAATTTTCTAACATATTTTCCACCTCATTCAGACGATATAGATTGCCCCTAACTTTGAAAGCACTCCTTCTGTATGACGCATGTTTTCTAAAACTTTCAATTTATTAATACAACAAAAAACTTTTCTTCCTTCCTCCCTTTCTTCTGGAGACCTATCATGGCTTACTCTATAATTATTTTCGGCTAAGTCATCTCTTCTGTTTATTATTGCTTGTTTAACCTTATAATTATTGAGAGAAACCAAGACTGGTCTTGGTTCCCGACCTTTACCAATTCGAAAACAGTCATTAATGGCGTATATTTGTAGTTCGACATTAAACTTCCTGGCACACATTAACTACTTTTGAAGAGACTTCCTCGATTTCCATATAGGGCAGATTAAAAATTAAAAAGTTGTTTTTTTTTCTTTCTCTCTTTAAGTACTTTATCTCATTTTCAAATGAACTAATTTTTTTATCTTGTTCCAAACGTTTTTTCCTCAGATTAGAAACTTCAACTCCTAGGAGCTGAACACATCTGTAAGTCTCTAATTTTATTCTTCCATTTCATTTACTTATTTATTTAATTTTTGGTTTTCTTTTTTCTTTTCTTTCTCCACATTCCTTTATGTCTATTATTTCATATTATATCCTTTTTCCTTTTCTTTCAATCTCTCCTGTAGATCTGTAGAAGTATATTCACATTTGCATTTATTATATATTACACTACAACAATTTTTAGCATCTATTTACTTCAGTTCAGGATCTTGTTACTTAGCTTACTTTGTTCATATTTTAATTTACTCTGTGTTTATAATTTTAATAAGCTTATTCACATTGTTTATAAATTTTGTCTAAATAATATGTAACTGCCACAATTCTCTATCTTTTTGTATCTTGTCCATTCTAGTCCTAAAGAAGACCTGCAAAGTCGAAACATCGGCTTTCAATAAAATAGTTCTACCACAATTTAGCCTATTTATGATCGTCATCCCAGACCATCTCCTTCCTTTTTAATTTATATTTATAGATAAGCACAGAGCTGATCTAACACAGTACATGGATAAAGCCAGACTCCTGATATGTCCAATATATAAAAAGGGAAATAGAACAGCGTGCAGATATTACAGAGGAATTTCAATGATAAATACTTTATTCAAGATATTATCATAAGCAAAACATTAATGAAGAGGGTAGAAAGGGTCCTGGGTGATTACTAGAGTGGGTTTAGACAGGGTAGGTCAACTATGGGTCAGAATTTTTCAGTAAGGTAAATACTGGAGAAAGCCTATGAGTATGATGTTACACACACACACACACACACACACACACACATATATATATATATATATATATATATATATATATATATATATATATCTGTGAGAAAGTGTAATTCATCAATATCATCATCATTACAAGGGGGCAAGGTGGCCGAGCGGGCTAAAGTGTGTTCACAGCACCACAGTTGCCCGGCAGTCTGGATCAAAGATAATTTGCTAAAACAGCTACCAGTTCGCCTCCCGGTGCCTGGGAAGGCATTTAAATCTGGCATTAATCCTCCACCCTCATCCCCTGGCATGGGAAAACCCCACATAGCTTAACAGGGGAGAAAGGGGAGTACAAAAACATAAAAAAAATTATGATGTTACATTACATTATTTGTTTGTGTACTTCTGACAAGTATATGATTCAGTTATAAGGAGAAAATGTATGATTGACTGGAAAAACTAAGAACCCCAAAGAAATTAATAAAGCTGGTCAGAATGAAACTGGCAGGTACATTCAATAGAGTGCTTTTCAATGGGAGGCTCTAAGGAAAATTCAAAATAGGAAAAGGTCATAAACAAAGAGATCCACTACCTACATCTATATTGCTTTTTAACCTGTCTAACTCGTTGGTTAGGGCAGGATGTGACAACACTAAATCAGGATGTGATAAGTGATCATTGTATGATAAGAAGGTAGGACTGCCTTGGTTGTTGTCAATGAACATTACTGTGTTCCTATCTATAAAATCTTCCCATATACTTCCTATGCCATCAATAGCTGAGTAATTCCAGCAAGTAAACAGTGCATTTAGATCTTCACAAATTAAGCAGGTTGGTCCCCATAGCTGTTCAAACCATCCCAACTTTGGCTTATTTCGAGATGGATTGTAAATAACAAAGAGAGACTGTGCATTAATTATATTAGCCACTTTAAATGGGACAAATTTCACATCTTTTTAAATAACATTTTGTCTTGCTTTCTATGCTACAATTAATAATTACTTGGATGAAATAATTTGTTTATTTATCAACTTCCTGTTCAACAGAAACCGTTATTTACTTAAAAAACATCACAATTTAATTTCCTGTTTTTCTGTGTAAAACAAATCATAGTCTATACAAATTTTTTTGTTGCTCTTGAGGCCTACCAACACTTCCTTAAATAGTTCCAATTTTAAGGAACACCCTGCATTGTATATGCTTTTCTTGTCATTTTCTTTTTAAAGGCCTTTTCAAACTTGCATTATACTATTTTAATTTAAATAAATTTTTCATTCTTATAAAACTGAATATAGGGTGTAAAAATGAAAATTTCTATACAAGGTAACTAAAAATAAACTAAACACTATAAATTAAAGGAGGGATTTTACAAAAATTGGATGACATTAATTTCTAGTAGAACCCTTTTGATATCCTAATATGATTGATTATCTTTGTATCATCTTAGTAAATTTCAACATGGAAAAAGGAAAATGAGAAATGGGAAAAACTAGATGATCTCATACCTTTGCAGTAGTAAGACTGCTTAAGTTTATTGATCCACTGTGGCAGACTATGCGAAAAAATTAAATATAACATTAAAATATGTTCATAAAGCCTTGAAGAATTAATCTCATATTAAAAAAAAGAATTATGAAATAACAACATAAATTGAAAATCAATAATAAATATCATTGAAGAGAAGGATGGATGGTTGGGGTGATCAGTCAAAATAAAAAATAGTAAAAATAAATAATTATATTTATTTTTATGTTTGCCGACGTTTCGGCCTGAAGTTCAGGCCTTCATCAAGACTGTTCAATCTAAGCGTCAATTAAAGACCAAGTCTTTGGTCTTTCCATGATTCTTGGATTAACAGCCCTGATGAAGGCCTGAAACGTAGGCAAATATAAAAATAAATATAATTATTTATTTTTACTATTTTTATTTTGACTGATCACCCCAACCATCCTTCTCTTGAATTATTCACTACAGTCAACCATCAACCCACAATTATGAATAAATATCATCATTAAATGTATGAAAGTTTACCTCATTTTCTGCTTTTAATCTTGCTAATTCTAAATCTGAGCATGAAGATCTTATTTCAGCACTATCCCCATGTTCCATTAATTTTTTTTCTAAATCCTGCTTTTCATTTGTAGCAGATTCTTGTTCCAGCCTGGCTCGCTCAAGTTCTTTCTGAAAAAATTGAATAATGTGACAAAACCATAATAGTTTTAAACTTGTTCAAGGTTTGAAAAACAAAATATGCTAAACTATGAACTAAAAAAGAATCTATATATTTTCAATAAGAAAAGAGATGAAGAAAATCATAACAGAAGTGATGAGAAAAGTATAGTATAGTATTTTTTAACACAAAACAATAACTAAAAATAACATTTTGAAGTCTACTAAATTTTTTTTTACATTTACATACCTATATATGAAATATATAGTAAGGGACAGTATTGTGATCGTGAAAATTTTCGACTCTGAGTTTTCAACGAAAATACATGCTTTGAGGTCTCCTGAGTCCAAATAACCAAGTCCCGCTAAATGGTGTGTGTGTGTGTGTGCGTGTGTATGTGAACAGTCTAGCTCAAAAACAAAAAGTCGTACGAAAGTGAAATTTCATATTTAAGGTTTGTATATACCTCGTATGTTACAGCAACTTTTTCGTAAAAATCGGCTAGCTTTGAATAAGAATAATTTGTTGAATTTTCCCTTTGTGAGATCCCAACATTATCCACTTACAATTAGTGTGACAACTTTTGACCTATCCACGGCAGGCAATGAAAATCTCGTAATTTCATTTTAGTAAACTTTACAATGGAAAATAACAGTTTAAGAACTTATAGTCCTACAATCCATAATCATTTCTAGGTTAAATATTCAGATGTACTTTCAAATCTCTCTAGGCATATATGAGCCTGATATGAGGTTTAAGGTTAGGCCTATATGAGGTTAAATATTCAAATGTACTTTCAAATCTCTATAGGCATATATGAGCCTTTCGATTGACAGAATGACTAATTCCAATTTCAACATTCTTCATTATTAATTTGAGTGATGTTTCTAGTGGCAAAATTTATACCTTTATTCACAGTTCTATATTTCAACACTGCAACCACCTACTCTGGAATCAACTTACTCACAATCTGTATAGATATAAATTTTCCAACAAGAAATATCACTAAAATGATATTACTTAAAAATGTTGAAATTGGAGTTAGTCAATCTGTAAACTGAAAGGCTCAGAGACTGAAGTTGTGTGCTTTATAATACCAGATGGAGTAACTACATTTTTAATGCCTACCGTCAATATAATAAATAGAATTTTCTAGTCCCATCCTTCGGGTTTGGTGCCATTTTCTTCCGTGTTGCATAGAGAACAAAATATTGGGAAACGTAGAATCATTGAATCCATTTTTATCACTAAAAATCTAAAACATTCAGTGAATCAACAGACAGATGTTGATAATTTAAACACGTTTTATGCTAGCACAATTGACAAAATTAATATATAACATACTGATATAAAACAGCTGATCACTAACCCCTCCACCCCACTCCTTATGTAAGTAAATCCAGTCCTGTATGAATGCCCTATTGAAGAACAATACTTTCTTGATACCGTCTGCAAATAGAGGTATATAAATCGAAAATTAAAAATTTTTAAATTAATTATAGCAATCTATTTTTAATTTATAATTATATATTATAATTTTTAGAAACGGAAAACGACATTCTTTGAAATAAAAGAATGAATTAGGACAAATCATATCGTAATGACAAATTTTAAAAATTTCATGGCGCGGTGCATGGTAGGTGAATGATACAAGTTTATTGTCTGAGGCTATACTTGAATGGTAAAAAATAAATTAAAATTTAGTTTGCAGGTTCTTGAAAATGGCTCCTGAAGCCGAAACGTTGAATAAACATAAAGGAAATAAATAAAAAAAACTGTGACCTATGGCCTAAAATAGACATATGTTAAATTATAATAAATAGACTTTGTAATTTTAATGGTTTTAATGATTTGCTATCTGTAAGCTTCAAGCTTTAGCTCCATTTAAAATGCACTTCAAAAAATTTATAATAGCTAACATTGCCAGAAAATAATTTCTATTCAAAGTAGAGGGGAAAGTGAAAGTTGTGTATTACGCGTACCAGATTTTTAAAGTTCAAACACAATACTCACACAATAAAAAGACTCGTCTACTTCAACCACTTTCCCAGGCCCTCCAATTTTCTTAGTTGACCTGTATAATATGTTATGGGCACAAACCTCTCTTAAAAATTTGTTCCACATTATGATAAATTTGTTCGATAGTTTCAGTGCTCTTTGCCCCACTTTATTGTTGTCAAATTATGAGACCACCCATAAATTAATTTGGAATGAGAGTGTAGATCAGATAATCACTAATGTTAATTATTAACTAACTATTATTGTATTTTCATTTTCACATAAAAATAACAATTTTTGCTAACATTTTGTATATAGATATGAGGAAAATATTATATTATACATCATGGAAAATGTTTTAACAGACAAACACCAATATGTCTTCTCTTAATTATTTCCGTTCAATTTCTCTCCTCTAAAACCTCTCCAAACCTTTAGGGCGATTAGTTCAAACCCAGTTATCCCCCTTTTAAGAACAGAATGTCATACACACCTTCTAGTCTGGTTGCCAGCCTGTTTTCCACTAATTCTGTCCTCATCAAAATTTCCCAAGACCTCCATACAGCCATGGACCAGCAGAAATTCACCACCCTTATTCTTATTGACTTCTCCAAAGCCTTTGACTCAGTAGACCACAATATCCTCCTAACCAAACTTAAAAACATCTCCTTGTCTTCTAGAATCCTCAATTGGTTCCAATCATTCCTTACCAGTCAAACTCTACCCTTGTCCAGAGGTTTCCCACCAGGTTCCTTCTTATCTCCCACCTTTTTTTCCATCTATATCAATGACCTCCCGTTCTCTACACTGTCAATACCACCTATATGCCGACAACGTCCAAATATAACTATCCTTCAATTATTTCAGATTCCTCTGGTGCCATCCTAAAATTTCAGGAAGATGTTAAGAATATGTGCTTGGACAAACCTCAATAGGCTCGCTCTAAATGCCGAGAAGGCGAAGAGCATCTTCATTGGATCCCCCTCAATCCTACAATCCATTCCAGTACCCCCCAATCTTCTCCTGAACAAATCATCTATCTCATTCCATATTTCCGTTAAAAACCTTGGTGTTACTTTTAATCAAACCCTCTCCTGGAAACCACGCATCTCTCAAGTTTCTCATTGTGCTATTTCTACCCTGAAACAATTCAACCGTCTACACTATATTATATCCTTCCATACAAGTACCGTCAACTCCTGGTCTCCTCTCTTGTTTTCTTCACTTTGTCTATGGCTGCATAGTGTATGGTGGACTCTCAGGAGAATTTCAAGCCAAACTTAAACCCCTAATGAATTACTCAATACGTTTTATTTTCTGGATCTCAAGAGATACGCATAGTACCCAGTATTTCACCAAGTTGAAGTGGCTCTATCCATCCTACCACCCTCAGTACTTCCTTGCTAACTTTCTATACCAGGCCATTCGAACTCAGCGACCCTCCTATATTTTTCAGAGCGTACAATTTAAATAATCTCTTCAATCCCTTCTCACTAGATCCCGTACTTCCGACCTCTATCCTCCACCTCACGAAACTGCTACATTTGAGTAATCCTTTGTGATTCAAGCCGTCTCCCTATCCCTCCTGATATTCGACACCTACAATCAGTTTCCTCTTTTGAACCTCTCTTTAAGCACTTACTTCTTTCACAATCCCACTGATAATGAAATTTATCTAAGAGAACTGAACTCTTTAAATAACCTCAGAAACTACTTTTTTCACTTATATTATTTTAGTTTCCTATGTTTGTTTTATAAATGTGTGTTTTTTTTTGTTTTCTTTTTTTCTCTCTCTCTCCTTCTGTATTTTTATATAGCTATTATTTGGTAAACATTTAATTTAATGTATAGCTACACTGCAATTTACTATGTATTTATAATTTATTCTAAAAGGACAACAATTCCAGAATAATAAAAAATATTTACATTTCAACAGTATTGTTGCTATTGGTCCTTTTTTCCTAATCTCTGAAGGCTACCTTGAGGTTGCTCGCCATGTGCTTAGCAGAGTGGGAGTGTCAAGATTTATTTCTTGGGGCTGCCAAGAAATAAATATTAACTGATTCAGGTAGGAATCAAACTCACATTCCAACGTGCTCACCCATCATGTCCCCAGACACCAATAATAGTATACACTGCAGGACTGAACCTCTTGGTTACAATAAAATCTAGCTTTATAAGTGAAGAGAGAAGAAAGAATCAGTGAGAAATTGCGAGGAGACAAAACTTGTAATCTTAATGAAATTGTAGATGAAAAATTTCCATGATCAAATCAAAGATAGAGACACCGTCCTGTGAATAGATATAAAATTAAGGAAAAAAACTACTTCAATTAGTTTAAGTCATTTATTTTGGAATCTGAGTAACAAAGGACATTATTTATTGTTTACTGTAAATGATTAATTACAATGTTAATAAACAATTTAATCATATTGCCAGGATTAGCTACAATTGAGATAAAATAACAAAACAAATCTTTGAAAAAGTATAAACTCAAAACTTTTCTATCTCTACAACCCTCTGACCAAAAGGCACTAAGATTTTCGAAAGAAAAATTATGAGACGAATTTTTGGTCCCCTATGCATACAAAGAGAATGGAGGATAAGAACAAATCAGGAGCTGGATAAACTGTTGAAGCACGAAGATATTGTAAGCATTATTAAAGCTAGAAGATTAGCTGGTTAGAACATCAGAAAAGACTGCCAGATGACAAAGCAACAAAGAAGATACTTAGGGAGGAATTTATCAGAAAAAAGAATAGAGGACGACCGAGGAAATGTTGGAAAAGTGACATGGAAGAGGATTTAAAGAAGATGGAAGTGGTAAATTGGAGAAGAATGAAGGATAGAGAGGATTGGAAAAAGATTGTGAAGGAGACCAAGATCCATCTCGGACTGAAGAGCCCGTCAGTAAGTAAGTAGCAAGGCAAAATATATGGTTAGCTGCGAAAATGACGATATTGCCGGTGAAATTGATAGAGAAGGTAATATGTTTTAACACGTAGAGAAGTTTAGGTATCTAAGGTCTACAATAACTAGAAAAAACCAAATTGAAGAGGAGATTAAGATTAGGCTGAAGGCAGGAAATGCTTGTTATTTTTCTGTGACAAAACTACTTAGCTCGAAACTCTTGTTCCAGAACTTAAAAGCTAGAACCTATAAAATTATTATCTTACCTACAGTTCTTTATGGATGCAAAACGTGGCTGCTTACATTAAGGGATAAGCAATGTCTTAAGGTTTTTGAAAATAAAGTATTGCGTAGAATATTCGGACCGAAGAAGGATGAGTTAACCAGGGAGTTCAGATGGTTACACAACTCTGAATTGCCTGTATTGTATCCGGTTAATATAATTGAGGTGATTACATCGCGGCGAATGAAATAGGCTTATAAAGTTGTTGGGCTTAATAATAAAAGAATTCCTAAAAGGTTAATATTTACTGTACCAAATGGTAAACGTCTGGTAGACCGAAGCGAAGGTGGGTAGATTGCATTAAAGCAGATCATAAGGGAGTGGGTTTGGACGGCGAACGGTGGAGGGAGATGTGTAATAAGCGATTGGTGGCGTCTGCATCGAACCTTTGGGTTCGCTAAGCCTTTTATTATTATTATTATTTCTGGGATGTTACAGCAACTTTTTCGTCAAAATCAGCTAAACGGAAATGGCACTTTATATTGATTTAACACTTTTATAGGGATTTTCTTGAACACAGCTCTAACAATTTCGGTTAGATTTCACTGTACCAGATTTTTTATATCTGATTTCAATGTAGAATGATTAATTATTTTTTAAAAAAAAGTTAAAGGTACTTTAAAGGAAGAAATTTTGAAAATTTTTTAGAGAACATCAATGAGAATAAGGCCTACATTATATTTAAAAAATCTCTTAATGTTACACAGATATAATGAATTTAATCAAAATCGTTGGAGCCATTTTCGAGAAAATTGTAAAAATGTGTGAAATCTATGATATAAAGTGGCATATCTGGTTAGCCGATTTTGAAAATTTACTGTAATATTCCAACCAAATACAAACCTTAGATACATAATATCAGTTTCTACTTTTTGTTTTTAAGCTAGTCCATTTACGCACTCATTCACAGACAGAAACACACACACCATTTTGTGTGACTTGGTTATTTGGACTCAGGGGACCTCTAAACGTGTATTTCCATTGAAAACTCAGATTTAAAAATTTTCACGATCGCAATACTTTCCATTACTATATATTACATATACATAGAAAAGAGAAAGTAAGAAAGTTTAAAAGGGTTTAATTATTTTTCCTGACATTATTATGCAATAATAAATATAAATTTTAATACCTGCAAATCTTCCAATGTTAGTTCTGCTTTCTGCAAACTTTCCATTTCTTTCATCATGCGTTTTAAATGTTTTTTGGAAATTTTATTCATTCTGTAAGTGTACCAAAATCCAATCAGAGCAGCCATGAGTAATGTTACCAATACTATATCTTTCACGTGGTTATTAGATTCTGCAATTAGTAAGAATAAAAATAAAAGAAAGTGTATGAAATAAAAGAAAATCAATTAAAATGTATTTTAAAAAAAAGAAAAAGGAACTTTAGAAGGTGTGCTATTGAGAGGTAGTGGTCGGAATCGACATTAGCTCCTCGTAATGTCCTTGTATCTAGCAGATTGGATTTATGTCACCTCCCTATCAACAAGTGATCGAATTGATTAACAACCGATCTGTCAGGTGTGATCCATGTACCTTTATGCATGTCCTTGTGAGGGAATAGAGAGCCACCCACAACAAGATCTCTGGATACCACAAAGTTTACCAGTAACAATATCAGTAAGTTTTTAGCATTTTGAAAAAGAGCTACTTGATTGTGTATAAACTGCTTAATTATAACATTTATCTTAAAACCCGTGTTATTATCAAAGTAATAAATTAGATGTCAAATAAATCATCAAATTATTCGCTCTAAAAAATATGCGTTTAGTACTCAATTACCAACCTTATTTTAGCTGAATAATATGTCCTATGTCCCCTGATTAACTTTTTTTTTTCTCCATCCCTTCCTCTCCTTTGAGGTTGGCTATAACTGGGTTTTCTTGAACCAGGGGAGAGGGTGGGGGATTAATGCCCCTAAGTTAAAAGCTCTCCGGAACCGGGATGCAAACTCATATTTATTTTACATCTTGTAAACTTCAGTTCAATCATCTGGTTGCTGGGCAATGTGTGGGACATACATGTTAACCCCTCAGCCACCTCCCCCAGATTATCATTATGCAAAATTAATTATTGCAACAAAAAATTTATTCTTATTTATATTCTGTAACCATAATAAGGGAGAAAAAATTCTTCGAATAAGAAGTCTGTTGTCCTTTTCAGAATCCGTCCTGATTTTTTTATGTAAAATAAAATATCGGTCTCTAAAAAGTTTTTTTTATATAATAAAGAGATTTATGTGTGTGTGTGTATATATATAAACACACACATACATAAATCTCTCATAAATCTTCATATCCCGGTCCCAGGGAGCTTTTAGCTATATATATATATATATATATATATATATATATATATATATATATATGTATGTATGTATGTATGTATGTATGTATATATATATGTGTATGTATGTATATATATATATGTGTATGTATGTATATATACACAGATACATACAAATCCAAATATGTATGTATAGTGTATGAAAAAAATATTTTCAAAAAATCTTTATTTCACAATAAAAACCAAGGATTAGCATTCCTCTACATCTTTGTTCAACATAGACAGTCATATGGTTTCATTGGAGAACTTATGTAAATAATTGATATAGCTTATAAGAACACAATTTTACAAAAATGTCATTTAGTACCTTATTACTTGCTTCGGTTTAATTATTAAGCAAGATACATTTGAAAGAGAGTAAAAAGAAATGAAGTATCATAAGTCTGATCAACTTTTGACTTGTATCATTGATCCAAGCAGGTTCCATTTTTGAACCATGTCAGGAAAAGGATAAATTACGGCAATGATAATAACAATAATTAAATACCATTTATAAAAGGTTAATATAAAAATTCATGATTAGATATTCTAAGTTTTTCAAAAGTTTATAATATAAATCGAAAAATTAATTTAAAATGAAATTACCTTTAGGTGGTCCAAATAAAACAACATCCATTGCTTTCAAAGCAATTTTCTGTTTATGAATAGGGTCTTTAATTCCGAGGACATTATTAAGATACTGCATATTATTCACAGCCAACCTAAGATTTAAAATTAAATGAAATAGGTTATTTAAAATCATATTCATAAAGGATTAATGACATAATCATAAAAAAATAAAAGGACTATTTATAACTTGTATATGCTTATGTGATAACAAGAACTGAGACTTTTAAGGGATCCTCATAAGGAATATACTGTCAAATGAATAAAATCTCCATTACTAGGAATATGATGGAGTAATAAGAAAAATGGGAAGTGGAGTGTGAGGTAAAATGTGATGAAAAAGGAATTTAGGTTATTTCTTATTCTCCATTCATTATTGCCCTTTACTAGGCCAAATATCTTTTTAAGTACCTTTCTTTTAAAAACTAGTAATCTTTTTACACCGATCTTCATTATCGTCCATATTTTACTTTTTCTCTTACCAATTTATTGTAAGATATGTTTTAAGTACCTTAAATTATTAAAAAGACCATACCACAGTGCAGCCACTTTTTCTGTTATCAAATTATTACTTAGTAGATGCTACCTTTAGTGTTAACTATGGTTACAATTATCATATTGCACTTCAAGAGGAGATTTCGTCTATTAGAAAAATTATGATATAATAGATTTTAGAGGGTCAACAAAAACGTTTTAATATTAGTAATTAACTTATTAACTATAACCTCAGAACCTGAAGTTTAAATCTAATGCTGCTGAAGTACATTGCTCCCAATCTTTTTGAACAAACTTAAAACCCCTCAGACTAAAATCTAACTGGAGGCTGCAAATAGTATCGATGAAGGATTTCTTTGCTTAATTTTAAGTATCCTCATAAAATATCGGGCAAAAAATGAAAATCAGAACGGTCAGATTACTCTGTGAGATTGACAGCAAACCTAATGTCCGGAGATATTATTTTTCTTGATTTTGTGATCAACTTATCTTACGATCCAGGTGGAAAGCAAATGGGTATTAAGAGTTTTTAGTATCTAATTAAATAGACAAAGTTTGCCAATTCCAAGAGTTCTCGTAAATAAAATAGTTGTAGGCTATGATGTGATGGAGTTATTCATGAAGTTTCAGGTGGGTGTTAATAATTTGATAGAAAGGAGACAGTTCCACAGACTATGGAAGAAAAAAAAAGGAAGAAAAAGAGCCTTGACAGAAAAGGATTCTCAGAATGGATCCTAGGCTAAGAAAAACTTCCGAAAGAGAACTAATTATCTCAGAATAGAATGAAATTATAATAGTTGTTGCATATAAAGAATTTGTTATTAAAAAAAAAAAAAATGAAGTACCTAGGAAGTGTAGCTCCATCTACACCATTGGCTGCAAACACATGTGAATATTGTGGTAAGCCAACACCAATGGATAACCATTCAACAGTTTGTTCAATTGTCCAATTGTGAACCTAAATTTAACATATTAGTTTTAAAAAAAAATATCGACAGCATTAAATTATAACAATTTGAGAACAATAATCCAAAATTACAAAACATATGATCACTCCAACTAGAGAACTGATTTTGATTAATTCTACAGTAAATATTGATAAGATATTATTAATAATATCCAAGATACCAAGTTCAGTTTATTATCAGATTTTCCATGGTGCTTACTTGGAAAAGACTTACATAAACTTGTGTCATATTTTCTTGTCTTGAATCAGTGACTTTAATCAGAAAGCATATATGATTTATTATACTGAAAATCAGCAGCCGAAATTGGTGACCTCAATTAGAAAGCAGCATATGATCAATTATACTCAAGGGAGTAAGAGAAATATTGTTTCACTACCTCAATATACTGAGAGTTTTTCAAACTTAGATATTTGTCTTCTCAATAAAATTTCACTTTCATTATAATTTTTTACAAAAGACTAAAATCAAACATCTGGTCCCTACTGCTGGGACCCAGTTAATGAAATAATTTTAAGAGACTCACAAGTCTATTCAATCCATTAAAACAGAAATTAAAGGCAAAATAGCACATTTAATAACATTGTTTGATGACAGGTCAATATCTGGAGTTAAATTATCTAATGTAGGTCATCCTCCAAGGCATCTCATTATTTATTCTTTTTAGGACAGGGATTTGTTTTAATTTAGCTTCCTTATTACCGAAGGTAAGGAAGTTAAGTATTCTAATGGTTGGTTAAAAACATTTGTGCTAAGAATCAATTTGTTGTGTTTTACATTTTATACTTCAAGGAACAAATATGTTTTTGTGTCTGTCTGCCTGGAGTCTAATCCATGTGACAGGCATATCACTGCTACTGTTTATCCTATTTTCATAAAATGTTTAGTGATTGGATGGGTCCGTCTCGAGATGGTCCTTTATCAATTTCATCAAATTCCATAAACATCAAATACCTTCACTTATGCATGTGTAAAAATATGTTTTTAGAAATGTCTATACAGAAATAGCTAGTTCGATTTGCTCGAATTTGGAGAAAAGTTAGGGATTGGTGAAAAAATGATGCTGTAGCAATTTTATAAAATGCTATCCACTATTTCCTCTTATCTTACATATGCACAAATGTATTTTCCTTGACATGCCAAAATCTCAAAAACAGGAGGTTCAAATTGGCCAGAATATGGCGAAAAGTTTGGTAAAGAAATAATCAAGTAGGTATCAATTTCATTTAATTCCATCCACTACTTTAAAAAAATACTTCCGTATTCAGATCTGAAAACGTATTGTTCTTGATAAGCCTATATTTCAAATGGGCCAATTTAGTCTTAATGAGCCTATATTTCAAAGAATGAGAAAATATAGAGAATAGTCTTGAAAATAGTAATTGAAATATGCAATTTCATCAACTTTCATTTAACAATTAAAATTAAAGTAAATAATAGTTAAAAATACAATGCCTATAAAATATGATAGGCCATGAATATATAGAAAGACAGGTTAAATTTACAACATAAGTTTAGGAGGTTTTAAGTTCACTAACTTGGTTTGATATGGTTAAGACTAATATTTTTGGCAAAAATGAGATTATTGGTGCTTTTCCTTTAAGATTTAATGTACGAGAGCATGTCAAAAAGTAAAGAGAAATTTTGAAAATACATATATTTATTGTACATTTTGAACAGACTTTTAAACACAATCACAAGAAGCTAACAAGGAATCAGTACTGCCATACACGCGATTCAGAAGGAAATCCAATTTTTTCTTTATTTTTTACTTGTCCTTGTATATATTATGTTATATATAATATATAACAAAATATAAGGTGTGATTTCACTTAATAGGCATAACACCTACTCCTTTTAATTCGATTTGAAGAAATTTTCAGAGATTGTGAGGATTGATACCTAAATAAATAAAAAAAATTAAAATATATAAATTATTTTAATTTTTGCCGACGTTTCGACCCACTTTGCAGGTCGTCTTCAGGGCTACAAAAGATACAAAACATGTTGAAAATAAAAAATAAATATAAGTATATATAAAATACGAAGAAGTTGTCAGATACAGAAATAAAGGATGGTATCAGAGATATAGTGGGTGACAATGTAGTTAAATATTAAGAATTATATATGTAGAAGATACAAATAAATGGAAAATAAGTAGGAATAAAAATAAAAATAAAGGAGAATATAGCATGAAAGTTAAAAGTAAACAGATTGCGATAAAAGATAAGGAATAAGTGTATAACAAACTCATAGAGATTACATTAGATAACTGTGGGTTAACAGATAAAGAAAATAAATACATGAATGTTAACGAATAAATGAATGTTAACGAATAAATAGATTGAAAATTGAATAACAGTAAAGTTAAAATATGGATAAGATAACATAACAATAAGATATCAGTGGATAACAGGCAAGTGGAGGTTAGCTTTAATTGTAAATAAACAGATAACGGGACTAAAGGTTAAGAAGTGAAGAAATTGAAAGATTAATAGGGTAACATTAGTGTAATATTGTTGGGATAGATTATTAAGTATAAATAACTCTATAAGAAAACAATAATTTTAAAAGAATACTTTAAATGTAAGAATAAATGTAAAAACAAGGTTATGATGATAAAGAAACAAAAAACAGGTTATACTATATATAGATGACAATTGACATTCAGTTTTTTGAAAGCGGTAATGGAATGGTAGGCTGCATGAAGATAATAATAAGGTGTATAGTTGAAGGATAGGTGTGTTAAGAAAAGAATCACAATAAAAGTCAAAACATACCGTAGGATGTGGCACTGCGGGAGGCAGTTGAAACACTGGCAGTGTCAAAAAACTCTAGTGAGCAGTGTCAAAAAAAAGTTCTAGTAAAAATAAACGCATACATACATACACATATATACACGTACAAACACACACATATATATATATACATATATATATATATATATACATACACATATATAAATATATATACACACACAAGCATACATATATATATACATATATATATATATATATATATATATATATATATATATATATATATATATATATATATATATATATATATATATAAGTTAGCTGTATATAAGCCATAAACAATAATAAGAACTATGTTACTAATAGGATTAACAAAGCATTGTAAATGAAAACAAACTGTTACTATATATATGGGATGAAGTAAATAATAAAGTCAGTTGCTCACGAACCTGTGTACTGTTACTATGCCCTAAAACGTTTTTTTTTCGATCAGTCTTTCAGTCTAATCGGAAGTGGTGCCGAAACCCGCGATGAATTCCGAATTTTATCGCGCGGCTAATAGTATCGTGAATTTCGGAAAAATCACTAGGCGAACCCACACAAGCTTCTAATCAATTTACAGATAACAATTACGATGGAAGAAGAATTGAAAAAGCTGGAGTACCAACTTGCTCAGGTTGCGGTGGAGAGACAGAAATTGGAGACGGAGAGACAGAAATTGGAGACGGAGCGTCAGCAACTAGAAACGCAGCTATCGAAAGCGACCGAAAACACACAGATCGAGTTGCTTAAGATAAGGACGCAGAACTCGGCATTTATTCACGAGGTAATAAGCCAGTTAGAACAGTTCACAGGTGTAGTAGGTGACCTCGAACATTTTATCAAAGGTGGTGACCAGATTAAAACTTTGATTACCACCAGACAGGAGTCAGGCATGTTGCTGGAGTCTGACGTACGAATATTGGAAGCCTCTTTGATTGGTCGTATCTCTCGGCGAGTTTTAAACGCCGTACAGGGCGATTTGACGGTCTCCTGGGAGACGCTGAAGATACGACTCAAGAAGTTATACGGCGGTGGCAGGTGGACCCCGGAAGAGGATGTTTTCTATTTGTTTAAAGAGCGTAGAACCCAGGGCCAATCGGAGGGCGAGTTCGCCGAAAAGCTATTGGTGTTATACAATAGACTGACGGAGAAGATGGTGGAAACATGCGGCCAGGCGGAAGGAGCCCAGAAGATGGAGTTTCTAAGGGGTGTGCTAAAGGTGCAACTAAACCATTATGTGGACCGTCCGGGATCACTGCCCAGAGACCGCGATTTTATCGAATGCGCCCACGACCTGGTCGATGCGAGGGAGCGGAACGAAACCCGCTTCGAAAAACCGGAAGCGGAATGGACGGAAGTGGGATCACCGAGAAACTCTCGGCGGCAACGCAGTATTACGAGGAGGAATAACACTAACGGAGGCTTCGAAAAGCGACCAAGCAAAGGCTTTGAGGACGGGAGACGGAAGCCTGGGCGCAGTTGCTACGAATGCAATCGTACGGGTCACGTAGCGGCCCAATGTAAGCTCACGAGGTGCTACGAGTGCGGCAGGCAGGGGCACGTTACGAGAGAATGTCCAAGGCGCAACCCCCGACCGAACAGAAGGGAACCACAGCATGAGCCCATGGAGATCAACAACCAGGACTGGAGCGGAAGACGGACTGGTAGGAGAGGCGGGGGACGCTACACTAGCGGAGAATCCTCGGAGGACGAAAGCATCCGGTCTGGGCGCAGTGGTCCGACTACGAGGAGGCAAGAGGTGAGTGGGAGGAATCCCTGGAGGGGGGGACCGTCAGGAATGGAGGTAGCGGTAGGACGCGCGCGCTCGGACTGAGGACGCGGCAACGGGAGGGGCAACCGACCGGAGGGTTTAATTATTAACAACAGCGCGAATACAGGACAGCGGACAAGGTTGTCCGTGGCGAGACTGAGAGAATCCGGCATCAAATTTCTCATTGACACGGGAAGTACGAATTCCTTAATCAATATAGGGGCGGCGGAAAAACTGGGAATCTGGGCGAAACGGGAACGATGCGACTGTGCGGTGTCAACGATTCATGGCAGAGGTCAAACGCTGGGGGAGTTACTTTTTGACCTCAAGGAACTCACGGGACGTGACTCGCGGACCACGATACACATAATTTCGTAGTTGATGCAGGGACAGGATCTAATAGTCGGGTGCGACATTTTAA